TCGTAAGTCTGTGTTCTGACCCTGGGAACTGTTTTCACAGTTGGGGGGTTGGGAGAACAGCACTGGGTCTCCTCCAAACTCTGATTCATGGCCACCCTCACACCTTACCCGCTGTGTCTGGCATCAGTCCATATCATCAACCCACCTCTGACCCAGTGCACAGATACTGGACTTATTGGAATAAGTACTCAATCCTATATTGTATATCAAAGCGAAAGTATCCTGTGATGCAATGTTGTAGTATATTGTTATTTTAGTATATATAATATACTATATAAGAGTCTTTGTTAATATTTTGAGCAGCTTTTTATATTTTCAGTTTTTATTTATATTTTTATATAGCATTAATTAATTGTATTTGTTTTATTTAATTTTAGTATTTCAACTTGTTTCAGTTAGTTTCTGTGCACATTTCTAATTTTTATTTAAGCATGTTTTTATCTAATACTTATATTTTATTTCAGCTTTATTTCAAGAATTACTGTTAATCATTTGAGTTTTAACAATAACAATACAGGCAGAGGTTAAAATATGAGAAAAGTGTTCCATAATCTCTGTCTGACAACATTTTAGTGCGCATCATACCAGTTATGCTCAATAAAATGTTGTCAGATAGAGATTCTGGAACACTTTTCTCATATTTTAACCTCTGTCCACATATTGTGGTTGACATTGATTAAAGGGTGCTTTTGAGAAATGTCTTTAATATGTTTTTGCTATTGTATCATGTCTAGACTTGATACACAAATGAATTGAACATCTATTGTGATTTGTCTGTCATCTGAAGAATTTGTAAAGCATTTGGTTTTATTTTATATCCTTTATGAATTACTTCATGTTTTCAGCAGCTGCATTTGAAAGAATTTAAAGTGCCCCTATAATGGATTTTTGAAAACTACCTTTCATGCAGTGTGTAACACGGCTCTAAGTGAATTAAAACATCCTCCAAAGTTTTAAATCTGAAAGTGCACTGTGTATAGTTGTTGTCTCTCAAAAGAAAGAGTCGATTCTGAATCACTGAAACGAGTCGTTTTTAAAACGAATCCCAAGGCGTTTCATGTTGACGTCAACATGAAACATTAGCATATTGCCCGCCCACTTGTTGCGCACGCAGACCCGGGAAAACTTGATTTTCGCGTTGGTCTGAATGAAAATGCAAATTCATTCTTTGCCACTAGGTGCCGCTTTTGGAGCGGTAAAAAAAGTTGTTTCCCTAGTAACGGCTACACAAAGCAGCACTGCGCTCACAAACGCTGCTTTATCAGGCATATTATGTTTAATTATTAAATGAAATCGACCAATCAGACCAATCACGCAGATCAGCGTCACGCAAAGGAGGGGTTTGGAAAAATTAATCGTTGAGCAAATCGTTTGGGATATTTTAAGACAATGAAAGTTTTTTTTTTTTTTACCTTTTATGCATGTCAACCTGTTGTTGGGGACTCCCAAAACCAAAATATGAACATTTCATAACCCATAATAGGGGCACTTTAATTACTGAAATGAGGTTTTGAATTATGTAAATGTTGCCCTCTGCTGGTGTGGTGTGGAGTATGCACTTGCAAGTTAATTGATAAAACACATCCATAGCATTTCAAGTTTTGTAATAACCACATACAGCCAGTAGACCACACAAAGATCACAGGCATTGATGTATATCTCAACTCATTCAGCTATTTAAATCGAAAAGTAGACAATCAGACACACATGTTCAATGAAATATCACACTCAAGTTTATTTGTTTCAGATTTTCTGGGCAGTATGTACAAAAAAGCAGTATTTACATTGATGATTGCACAGGAAAAGGTCACAGAAGCAGCAGCTAAAAGAAAAGCATAACAATGTCTAAAAATTCATACCCTGTCATCGGCATGGATTTTGTGCTGCATGTTTTATTCTCCAGACAAATTCGACTTCTAAACAGGAACAGCAATTACAGTTATGTACATGGCCACTGCAAATAAATGGTGCTAGAATCATGATTCACCACAAGGGGGCACAGAAGCCCTGCGCAGCGCAAACAAAAGCATATTTGAGCATTTTTATTGGTACACAACTGATACCAGGACCTCTAGAGGTTGTAGTTATGGTGTTAGTAATTCTCTGTAGTTATTGTTATGATGTACAGCCTTTTAGTCTGGTATGAAACAGAAAAAAAAATAAAAATAAAATATATATATATATTATTTGCTTTTTTAATGCAACATCTCACAATGGCTGTGTCCAAAACCTCAAGCAGCTGCCTAATCAGTCTAAAAATTCACAAGCATAACGAAACTGCTTTCAGACAGACAAGATTATTTAATGTTTTTCAAATAAGTCTCTTAAGCTCACCAAGGCTACATTTATTTGACAACAATACAGCAAAAACAGTAATAATGTGAAAAACTTTTCTATTTTAATATTTTTTTAAACATATTTTATTCCTGTGATGGCAGCTACTCCAGTCTACAGTGTCACATGATCCTGCAAAACATTTTTCAGGTTTCGGACACAGCCAATGTGTCATCAGGACAGATCAATTATGGGAAATGTATAAAACAAACATGGATCAGCTATGAGAACTACATAACATTTTAATGGTGTAGGACAAGATGGTATAAAGGCAGTTTAATGGAAGCCAGTAAGGCCAATCATTTATCATAAATACATTACAAAAAATTCTGCTAAGCTTTCCCCGTCATATATTTTGACACTTACAGAGTAAGGCAACCCCAAACCACTTGGCCATATTTAAGCTCCATTCAATGCTTTTTGCCTTTAACAGAAAGAGCAAACATCACATTGACTGATTTTTGGCATTAATGATTGGTTTATAGATTAGCAACAGCACATTTGTGTGCTCAAAACTCAAAAGTCCTGTCTAGACTGAGTGTTTAAAAGAGGACTGTCACCTTGGCACACAGTTCAGACATCAAACGATCTGTATGTTCAAACACAAAGCAAAGAAGAGCCAGTTTGAATTGAGTCAACATAAGGAAAGTATCTCCACTAGGGATTTTTATACAGTTTCCTTTATGAAAAACAAAGAGAAGAGTCATCATAAGGAATGAAACTCAAGACCCAAGACATTTATCATAGGCTGCTTATGTGGCAAACAATCGACATGTCCAATTGGTGAAACAAAGCTGAGCATAAACCATGACTTTAGTCCTGGTTGGTTAGCTGGTCAGGAAACTAAGCTGAATTAGTATGTTAACTCACTGTTGTTGTAACACTGACATGGATGCACATATCATCTGTTTGAGGGTAAGGTAAGGCATCTGCAATGTCTAATCTAATATATTCAGAGGGCATCTGTCACACTTCACGAAACTGTCATGTTTTGATGCTAATCAAATATGAATATTTTCTTTGAGTTGCACTCATTAAAATGCTGCATTTCTCCATGCACAAGTGATAATGGCAGATAAATACATTATTTAAGAGTAACGGCACCCTCCAGTTTCTGACAAATTCTCACCAATAAATATGAGCTACACTATTAGGGGCGTAACGGTACACGTATTCGTACCAAAAATGTTCAGTACGGGTCTTTCAGTTCGGTACACATACCGAACAAATACAGCATTGTTTTAACCACTGTACAAGTTAAATTTCATTGGGAACTTCCAGTTTTATATATTGTTACTTTTGATATGAAACAAAGTCTCATCTTTAACATTTTTTTCAGGAAATACAAATTTTTTTTTACAAAAGCAACATTTTGACATTCTTTGATGTGGCCTGACAGATCGCTGTATAAACGTCTCAGTTAAAACGGCAGCACAGAGCGCAAGTGAGCGCGATCATCCCTTACTCTTTACTACTAGTTTTAACGCCAAATAAACATGAACAAACATCTCATGCAATCGCTCAATCAGTTTCAACCGCAGAAAGACATCAATAAAACAGCTTGTAAACAACAAGTCATCAGTGTCCACAGCTTGTTAGTTAGAGAAATGAAAGAAGAGCATTTCGTGAAATATTAGACTATATACTCATATTTTACTTTACCTGTTAGTGAGGTCTAAATTATTTAATGTATGTTTAAATAAATCTGTTATGAAACAAGCTATGACAGCTAGGTAGGCCTACTGTGTAAATGAATATATTTCAACAACAAATAGAAATTTTATCATTTAGAAGTTAATTTAAAAACTGCATTATGTGCAGCTTACATGTTTGCATACAATTGCATACAAAGTTGAGTGTTGATTATATTTTAAAATAAATAGTAATTAAATTTAAGTTTGGGCTCTGTAGTTAATTGTAACCTTATAGTAATGTAAAAGTAGTTTAGAGCATAAGCTGAGGTCGATTTTTATCCCTATAAATTGTAATTGTAATGAAATTTATTGAAAGAACAATTTGTTCAGTAAATCACGGTTTAGTAAAAAAAAAAGCTATTTTATGTTTAGTTTTTTCCTCCTGCTGTACCAAAACCATACTGAAACGCGACGTCAAAAACGGGGTACGTACCGAAAGGTCATGTTTGTGTACCGTTACACCCCTAATTTACATATATACAGTATATAGATAAAAAGAAGCTAGGGATGCACAGTATCAATACAATATCAGTTATTGGCTGATATTAGAAATGTCTTAATTCATCAGCACTGGCCGATATTGGATATATAATTGTTCGTGCTTTTTTTTTTTACTCTATTTATTAATTTACATTACCTTTTTACCATCATCTAATGCTCAAAAACTTAAAAAACACCTAAAATGTAACACTGTTAAATGTAATATTTAACAAATTTCAAAATAAATATACATTTTCATACTGTATATTATAATGCTGTGATACCTTAATTCACTTGTAGCATTTAAAAAAGTTAATTTATGTTTGTTATTTCTTTACAAAATAGTATAGAATTTTAATATCGGCCATAACACGAAATTATTAGCAGCTTATCGGTAATGCTATATTTTTTTATATCGGTGCATCACTATGCATTTTAACTGAACTAAAATATCAATCATTGATAAACAAGATCTTTTTTTTTTCTTTGAACTTTTGGAGTGATGTTACTCTTAAATAATGTATTGCACAGCTACAATGAACATCAGATCAAGGGTTTTCACACCTGAAATCTGAACGACAGAACATCAATATCAGAATATGAGACATGGTTTGGTCTCTATGGCCCTGTCCTAAATAGCGCATTAGATGTGTACTGTAATTGCAGTGAAGTCCTCGAGACCGTAGCGCCTCCCATTTGTCATTTTAGGGTTTCAGAATGCTCTATCCCTGTTGCAGAGTCCACCATTTGGGACAGGGCTAAAAAGCTTTCGTCGTGCAAGCAGATGAAATGTTCTTTAGGAGACAAACTTCACAGAACTGAATTTTAGCACAGTGTTAGGACCTCAAATAACCTGCTAGTTTAGCCACTCACCAGCACAGTGGTGTGTCAGTAGATGCTGCTACAGAGGAGGTTCTCATTCATTTACTGATGTACTCATAAGGGGAGAGGGCCAATCCACAGTCTCTGGCTGCTTGTAACCAACTCCTTCCTGTTTCTGGTCAAGTCTGCAAGGGAAGTGAGTGTCCTGATGGAGGTATGGTCACATGATTGTGGTTCTGGGGCATGTACATGTTGTCACTTCTGCAGCCAACTGTGGTCATCATCCTCTTCTTCATCAAGTAACGGCATAAACTCCAGTTCTCCTTTTCTCTCTAAGGTGTTTCTAATGGAAATGCTGTTTGGACAATAAGGTTTGGAACAATAATCAGGTCACTGACACTGCATTAGCATGAACAACAAGTTAAAAATGTACAAGAGTTGTCACATACACTGCATAAACTAATTACATACATTATCAATGAAAATTAGCATTTTGTATGTATTTTATGCTCACCAAGGCTGTATTTATTTGGTCAAAAATAGTAATATTGTGAAATATTATTAGAATTACAACAGTTTCTATTTGAATATATTTAAAAATGTAATTTAATCCTGTGTTGGCAAACTCCAGTCTTCAATGTCACATGATCCTTCAGAAATCCTTTTAATATGCTGATTGGGTGCTCAAGAAACACTATCAATGTTAAATAATAATACTGCTTAATATTTTTGTGGAGAAGTTCAAGTTGATACATTTTTGATAGAACATCTAAGCATTAATTTTAAATAGAAATCTTTTGGAACATTATAAATGTCTTTATCACTTTGGATCAATTTACTGCATCATTGCTGAATAAAAGTATTAATTTCTTAAATAAAAAAAGCTGACTTACAAAAACAGGGCTGCCGAGCAAAACACAATACATTTGAAATGTTCAGGTACTGAGACAGAGGTTGCATTTACCAAAAATTGTTCATCATTTCTGAGCAAATTTTGAAAACACTAACAATATCTCAAAATGTTTTCCATCATTTAAGTAGAAAAAAATTATGTGGTCTATCTTTTGTAAGTTTTCCGAAATGTATTCTTTCATTCAGCCTTAAAAAAATAGCATGCTTCATATGCAAATGATCCAAAATATGTACCACTTTAATGCACTGGTCATATACTTGCAGAACTTTAAAAGAGTGTCTTAAAGGTGCAATAGGTGATTGTCTTCAGAAACATTTTTTGTTATGCTGGTTGAAAGTCTCTTCACATCCCGATAGCAATCATTAAGTTAAGTGGTCTAAATGTATTTATCTGTATTTATATATTCTGTGGAAGGCGTAGGACCATGAAATGTGCGTCCAATCAAAACGCTCGGTCTGAGCATTTTAATTGGCTTTCCTACCTGCCTGTCAACGTATGTATTAGCATACCTCTATGCACCCGGTTCGCGCAGACAGGATACGTCATCAGCGTGTCGCGCACGCTGTGCAGACAGAGCGAGAATGGCAGACAAACATCATCAACCCGATCTTCCTCTGAGCAGGGGAAATCCGTGAAGGGAAAAATGAAGTTTACTTCACTTCGGAACATGGGCTGGAATTGGGAGCCGCTGATGTAGCCTATTGTAGTATTGTTGTCTCTGGTATTCTGTTCTGTGAGTGTATAGGCGTTCAGGGGGCGTGGCTTTGGACGGCAATTGCAGGGAGGGTGGGACGTTCGCTTTCAGTGCTATCAGGCTAAAGTTAGCATTTTCCAAGATCTCCTACTGCACCTTTAATATTTAATATAGGCTATACAAAAGACTAGATTATGAGTTTACATCTTCAGTTGATGAAAGAAAATGAATTCAGTCATGATACAGTACATCTAACCTGTTGATGGACGTCCATGAGGCAGTCAATCAGGAGGGGCTAGCAGTTCTGCACAGATGCACACACAATAACAGAATCACAACAGACAGAAATAAAGGGCGGCAGAGTGCACACACTCACCCAATAACTGATTAATGAAGCTGACATCCTTTATGTGCAAACTGTGTGTATAATACATACACTGCTGTTCAAAAGTTTGGAGTCGATAAGATTTTTTAATGTTTTTGAAAAAAAAAAAACCAGTTGCTGTATCTTTACACTAAAGCAAATACTATTAAATTCACTATGTTTAGACTAGGTTAGTAAGACTCACAGATGTGGACTTGTGGTCATGCGGTCGCTCAAGTTTGATGCGGATGTCTGTACGGTTCTGCTCCTGGTTCTTTCCACCATCTGTTTTCCCAGCTGGAAACATAAGAACATTTATTTAATAGATAAAAACACAAACATAATCTACACTACTACACAAAGATACACCAAATATGTTTTATTTTTATAAATATGTTAAGGGTGTGAGTGAAACTATTTTGTACAGCTTGTTTCTCTCACCAGGAGAGCTCCCTCTGCTGGTTGTACTGGCAGTGCTCATGTTGTCCTCCAGCCATGTGCTGTATGTTAACGAGTCTCGTTTATGAGGAGTATCTGCTGATGACAGACTCTCCTGAATGGGACAAATACAACAAATTGCTCTAGCAGACATACTGACAAAACATATGAAGTCTGTCTTAGTGTTTTTTTTAAATGGTAGTCTCTACTGTGGAACATGTTTGTGCCAAAGAGAGTTTGCATGCAAGGACTGTGTAGTTTCTAGAGATGTTCATTACTTGAATGTGTTGACGATAAATGTGCTTTTCTCACCATGCCGGTGTCATAGTCCTCTGTGGCCTCTGTTTCATTCTCCTCTACCACACTAGCAAAGCTGCTGGCATTAGAGGAGGAGCGGGACAGATCATGAGCCTCAGGAATGGAGGGAGCCTGGCAGTACATGCTTGAGCTACACACACATACATACATACAAAAACATGTTCTTAATGCCTTTATCTGTAACAAGCAAGAAACTCCCATAGTTCTTGTTGTCAGATCGCTTGCATCCACCAAAACACACAGCCAGGGTTCAGTAGCAAACCCTATCAAGCACCAAATATGAGCAAAAACTGACAATGTTCAAGCAGTGAACTTTTTTTTTTCAGCAAATTTTTTCTCATTCATTATCATGTCTTTTTCACCACATCTCAAATGAAGGAAGTGATTGTAATTAAATTTTAAAAAATGTTCTCCACATTTTGTATAATTAACAAACAGCCTTTTTGGACACAGCACAGCATAAAACATTCTACCTTTTTATTTATCATCTCAAACTTGCTCTTCATTAACACAGGTGTCTCCTTAATAAGCAAGTACAGAATTTTTAGATTATCTATAGAGATTTTACACACATTAAATATATATAATAATTTATATTTTATCATGCTTTTTCGTAGATTAAGATATAAGATCTGGGTTTGGGGTTTGGGAAAAACAATTTAATCTACACATTAAAATACATTTGAAAATAAGCAAAAATAAGTAAAGGCATAGTAAGAATTTTCAATTTAAACAATTTTTAACAAAACGTTGAAATCAACCCTTGAGACATAAACGCA